CAGTTTTTTTCTGACCCTCCCATGATCATAAAAACATTGAAACTATAACACTAGTTAAAATTATGGTATAAAATTTTGATCAAAACCACATTACACTGACAAAAAATTTCCACTTGATTATCGATTCACGCTGCCCCCGGTAATGGCGGCCGTGAGCGCGCCGCCTACGGCGAAGGGGTAATTCATCTGCTTCTCGGATTCGTCTATATCTCGTCTTTTGTACGGGATTAAGTCAGGGGTAGCCTAACTCAATGCGGAAGTGACGTCGCGGCTAGGTATAACTTTATCAATGGAAACAATATTATAAAGTATAACGTTCTCGCTAAAAATAGACAACTGCTTATTTTGTGTGCCATTTTCATGGACTTTTTACCCTCTCAAAAGTAAAATACACTACTATAATTTAGTACGGAAAATCATATATTAAAAAAACATACATAATTAGTAAACAGGTATACAGGTAGCAGTAACATTTTCGAACTAAATAAATAAAATATGAGTGTTGGTATTTTACAGATGAAATTCGTCGATTGTGTAATGGTCAGAACATTGCTTTCTTTGGTGCTGTGGGACATGGCAAGTCGTCCAGTATTAATACCCTGGCAGAGGTACAGTAGTTTCTCACATTGTTATAGCTGAAGAGAAAACACATTATTTTTCATATGTTATCACATACCCTACGCAGTTTTAGAGAAATTCGAAACACACTGGTGTACTATAAGTCATTGAACAATTATATCAGGTGCCTTGTGGATTCAAACGTCGGGAAGTTACAGTGGTTTAAAGATAAGATAAGATAAGATAAGAGCCATTTGTTGAATAATTAATAAAACCGGTATTCGTAGTCCGGTGAAATAACCATTATTTTCGCTATCCCCATTTATCCAATATAGCTATTAATACAAACTGTTGCTCTGTTGATCAGTGGGTCCACTGTCATATTAATGAAAAAAAACATATTGCAGGCGTTAGGTCATGGCGAGGTCACTGATACATGGGGTGCATCTGGCAGTGCAGGTACCCTTGTGGTGTCTCCTCACACCATTACGTTTGACCAGTCCTCAACTGTCACACTCGTCGATGTGCCGGGTAGTGGACTACCACGAGTCAATACGCAGCACGGCTCAAACCAACTGAAAGACGTGATCGGATGGATTATGGATGGTAAGTTTCCCCAAAAGACGCCAACTGACTATTGGGAGCGTGGTGGGTTGAGTCCGTGGAAGAGCTACTTTCTGAAGCCTAAAGTCGGTCGAATTGACGCTGTGGTTATTATTATAAAGGCCACTGCCCAGGTGGACAGGATGATTAACATCATTGTTTCCGAATCCAAGAACAGAGGTATGTATATACAAGAGTAATTATGAAGAGATCTGATTTAATATGCTTTAGAATAGTACATCAGTGTTCAAAGCGAGATGTACACACAGATACTTACGTCATCGAACTTAACCAGGGCCAAACAGATGTGATCCCATAGAACTATAACCAGAACCTGAAGTTGTTCGTAATAACATAAAATAACGTAACATAACCTCACCTCACCTCATCTCACAAAAATGATCCACTATAATCGTTCTTATTCACAAATACGTGTCACATTGTTATTACATTGCGTTTGACTAATACATATATCGTTATCTCACATATAGGTAATGGTATTCCTATACATACTATATTAACACACGTCGACCAACTACGGGATAGAGGCGAGATAAAGAAAAAGGTGAAAGAAGTATCACGCTGTATTGGAGTGGAAGAAACGCGTATATATCCACTTTCAAATCGTGTCCGGGGCGGTGACTATCTCGTCGGAAATGACAGAGATACACATGTGTTATGTATGCTGGCCAAGTTATTAAGAACTGCAACACATTTTCAATCAAATGAAAACAGAAGTCCATTCATGAAGCGACGGGCGAATTGGGATTCTTGTAACACCCCTAAACGATTTAAACGATAACACAGCGCAGACCTATCCTAACATGGACGTTATGGTTGAATGTATAACGTTTTCGTGGTATTTTGTATAGTGTTCGTCAGTCATATACAATACGCGCACAACGATCGCGCATATACATAAGGTGTCCCCAAACTACCAAATGAGGAAACAGACGACATATAATTTCATCTGGTAGAAGTTTGTGTTTTTGCAAGTACTAGAATTTGGTGTGAGCAACCTTTCTTTCTGAAATGTACTACTATGTTGAAGGTGGTCGGCTGACCTGAATCTCGATCGTTATTCTTCGTACACGGTCGCGGTCTATCACAATTTAATGATGTACACGAGTGTTACAGCCAATTTACAATCGTTAGTGTGTAATCATGGTACAACCAGGAAACATTTATTAAATTATATTACAAACAGATATTAACAATTTTACCATTTTCAATTGATATAACTACTAATAAAAGAGTTAATACGAATTAAAATAGCGATGATAAGTACATACATCAGCTTGACTGATTAGAGCGTCCCGAATTCGTTACATTGAAAATTATATTGGAAACAGTGCTTTCTAGTAACATGCAATTACTATGACCATGTATAATTCACTTAACCGGCAGAACATGCAATAATAATCAAAACAGCACAATTTAACCCCAAATTACAAAAAAATTGAAAATCACTACATGACTACGAAAAATGTTATCTCCCTTGTTGTTGGGAGCACTCAGGGATAATATTATCTTCCTTGTTGTTTCGACTATTCAGGGATAATACTTTTCTCCATGAACCGGTCATAACCTGAGAGATAATTTTATCCTACTCGCACGATACATAGATCCTTTCTATGAACTTAATACTATTCCACTTGTCCCATGTATTGGACAATATAATCTCACCAGTGGTGGTCAGTACATGGACCATCGAAATAATATTATATCCGTAGGGGTGGCTAATACATAAACCAAATGAGACAATTTTATAAATAAATTAGCTTTGTTATAGGGAAAATCGATACTCAGGACAATTGAGATAAATTATCTTACCCAAAGTAGAGTAATATTTTGAACCAGTAAGATAACAAATGACTGGGCAATACTACACAACAATATATACACTGAACAGCTCTGTAGACTGTGCAATTTGATATTTTCTGTTTATATAGGTAGTTTATATACTAGGTAGGACGCATTTGGGTCTGCATGCATAAGTATTGCCATATATGTAAAAATAGTGAAACATGTCGAAATCGCCAAAAGTACTGCTTCAACAGGAGCGCTTTTCCACATTTTACTACATAGTTTGCCTAGCTATTTCCTTTGGAAAAGTTCCATGCAATTGTGAAATATTAAATTCCTTTTTCAATTGATGCTCCCAATTATCTGCCATGAAACTCTAAACACTGAAGAACTATGGGGTTTTTGTGCGTTGTCGTTCAGAAAACAGAATATTGAATCAAACATACTAAGTGCTCCGACCTTCTCAATAAGCTAATTATATTAAATACATGTATTTATGAAACGTCACACTGTGTTATACACACTCAGCAGAAAAGTATTGTGTAGCGACTTTGTCTACTTTATATTTCAATTTGTGTACATTAGACTGGTGTCCTGCAGTACACTTAATACACTTTTATATATGCAATATATTCTAGAGTTACCATCTAAGCATTACAATAATTAACCTATATCATAGCTTACAATATTACAATCAGTGTTGCAATCACACATTACACTACTACATTTGCATATGACTAGTGTATTCAGATTACACGTGCACAGTGTATACGTGAACCGTGCATCATCTGATTTGTCGTTACATGTATCTGTGCATGTAATTTTAATACTGCTACATGTAAACTGCCTTACTTGATATGAATTTATTATCCCATTATTGTATATTATTGTTTTTATGTTACATTTCATTTAATCACCATTCTGCTTACTTGATGTATTGAATAAAGTATCATGATTATATTTCCATGTGTCTAGATATCGGGCACTGGTACAACTTGATAACTGGTTTCCAGTGAAGGGCTGGGTGAGATATTTCACCGCTTGCTCATAACCTGTTATCATTAGGCTTATACGAAGTACTAGTCTGAAATCGAGTCAGTGATTGGAACTAATTACAGATATAAACTTTGCTGACGGACTGTTATTTCTAACGATTTGATATGGGTAGTCTCCCAATATGGCGGACAATTAATCAAGTATATTATGACGTGTTAAATACTTCGTGTGGCTACATGGGTGGAATATGTGGAGGCCACGCCTCAAGATCTTAAACTTCCATGTAAGATACGGTGTTTTGGAGAGTGAAGTCTTGATGAGTCTCCACGAGGCGACTGAGACTAGAGGTTGACACGAATTTCATCTGTGTGTGTCTTTGCTTGGTTGAAAGGTTTGTGAACGTGACGATCCCGGATATCTGACGTAACGTTAAGAACACGAGAATTAAACCGTCATAATCTATGAAAGACCTTTGCTCACTTTCATCATTTGGTAATCTGGTTGTGCAATACAATCACTTTTATGAATATCAATGAGGTCACATGAGCATTCAGTCATACTCAATTATACAACTCATTATTAGTCTGTATCTACATATTTGTATGGTCACATCGGCTATTACAATACCAGCCACCTTAATGAATATTTATTATTTAACATGACTCCGGTCAATTTTAACCCTTTCTTGCAAGCCACAGTATGTTTTTTATTTCTTCTATACCATACAAACAACCTATAACTCCGCTGGCATGCTTGGGAGTTACAGCCGGGTCAGAAATTACTCATAATTTGTAACAAATCAACCATGGTTTAAAGCGGAGAGGTTGTCATATGCGCATTCGCGGGAATTGAGTCCAAAGCAACAATAACAATGCATTATATAATAACGTAAAGGCTCAAGGGTAGACGCTTGTTTGTAAACAACGACACGCTATGGCTGTTTGCCGCTCGCGAAGGTGACTACTCCTCCGCTTTAACAAACGCAGAGAAACAGTCGACAATGTTCAATGACTGTTTTTATTTACGTCACACTATAATGCTTTCTGTTTAACGGAAGTTACAATAGAGGGTCTATGCTACAAAGGAAAGTGTTACATAACGTCAATAATCCAAAATGCGCTGTATAACTATAGGCTTTCTTACTTTGATTGGCGCAATTAGAGGCTGCTGCAAAAGATGTGGTAAACAACGATGACCACGCAGTATTTTTGTCTTCTTCTTCAAAACCATTAAACCAAATGCTTTCATATTTGCAACATAGATTCTTGGGGTAGTCCTCTGTTAGATTTGTCCATTTCGTGATGATATCTTCTATTCTCCAATTTTGATAAATATTTTTTTCATTTTTTTGTAAAAAGTGATATTTTTGACTTCTGGTTGAAAACCGCTAGTCTGATTGCTTTGATATTATATATATATATATATATATATATATATATATATATATATATATATATATATAGGTACTACATATGAACCTCTCTCTCAGATTTGTTCATTTCGTGATGACATCTTTAATTCTCTAATTTTGATAAATATGTTTGTAATTTTTGGTAAATTGGATATTTTCGACTTCTTGTTAAAAACGCAAGTCTGATTGCTTTGATACTATACATATTGTTTAATTGAAATGTGCATTGCTAACAGCGGAGCTATCTCAGCACAGATGTTGTTATTGTTTCTTTTATTAAGGAACCTATATTAAAAAAAATAAACATCGTGCTGCTTCATATATTGTGTACATTTATACAGTCGGCTATAAACAGAATAGTCACGCCTTTATTAAAACATATATCTACTCGAATCGTGTATTTCCCGTCACATATCAGGTCACGTGTTTTACGCTGTGAATTTAGTATGAAATAAAAACTACGCTTGACCAGTGTGTTTCAAAGGTCACTGATCTCAGTGGAAATATAAATTGCTGTCTGTGTTCAATGAAGCAAATCATTTATCTTGTAATAATATCTTCGGTAATGTATCTCCAAAATCCTATGGGAATACTAGACTGGGTTTCAAAACCAACTCATGGAGAGAGTTTTTGCACAGTCTGATACACATTTGCAAACCTACCAATAAAATCTTTACAGAAAACAAGATGTCAGAAAATCAATATAAGCACTTCTATGAATTGGGTGCCAAACTTTGATCAAGATCTGAAGCTAATAGAAAATCTGTTTTAGTCAAAAGTTATCAAATTAAAAACAATACATAAAAAATGCTTGAAAAGCAAAACGTTGCATCCACATTTTGAAAAGAAAATTGTACTAAAAAAATAGGTATTCTGTATTTGACAAACAGTTCATTCGACAAATGAAAATTCACAGGAATTTGTTTCAGCTATTAGAACAGAATGATAGAGCTTTTATAATAGTAATTTAAAAACGCACTTTAAAAACGAAGATTGCAGTGTTTGAAGATGTAGATACTGCTGACTTCTCTCTCCACTGGACACCAACTAACTGTTGATTTGCATTACAAAGCAGAGCTCGCAACATGATAGCTATTTATAGTTTACTTTTCATATAATACAGTAGTCACACAATGAATATAATAAGGCAGTTCATATTTGTCCCAGTGAATCATTATTTTTTGTTAGACACCTGTACAAAATACATGGGAAAAGCCACCTGGTATCTTGCATGGTTTATGAATATATATTCACGTCTCATTGCAGCACCTTTTTTCTGAGATGAGGTATTTGTATTTATACTAAAAAAATCTGAATTACTTTGAATACAGCTGGAAATTATGTCCCTTAAAGTAATTAAACAAATTAGGCACCAATGTTTTTGTAAGATATTTTGCATCACGGACATTCGGTAAACTGCTTTCCCATTGTTGTTTCAACCCTAAAACTTGTTTGTATTCAAAATTAATTATGACAATGCATATTCATATTGAAACAAACTATGATAAGGGGAATAATATTATATAACAAAGGGCAAGGTCACCAGAGTTCAACTATGTTTTTAAGTGGCATTATTATTATTATTTACAAGCCACCATTCACAAGCACATTATTTGCGAAAGAATCTTTCCAGCTGTTTTGTTTACACGCGTCATCGACCCAGTATGCAAATCAGATTACATCGTACAAGCCACCATATCCTGCTATGTTTTCATGCGTCATCGACCTAATAGACAACTAAGATTACACTGTACATTCAACCATAGACAAACACATTATTAGCGATAGGATCTTACCAGCTGTTATGTTTACATGCGTCACCGATCTAGTATGCAAATTAAATTGCGTCCTTCAATCCATCGTCATAGACAAAGATTGCCAGCAAATTATATGTAAATATAAAGCCTCTTGTATATTTGTGGGAGATATCCAACGCAGGTCTTCTTGATTCAAGCAGCATATTATACTAGGAAATTTTACTAGACATGTTTGTTTGATTTCGTTCAATTTAGTGGGTTCTAAAATGTATTTTCATCGTTGCAATTGTGTATGCTGACATCAATCCTGTGTCTCGACGTAACATGGGGTTAATGAATTCAAATCATATGATATGGTAATAATGTATATGATGCTATACATTGTGGAAACTAAGCTAAAATAATATTGTACGCAATTATTGACAACTCCGAACAACGATCTTTACATTCATGATTACGTATGAGTTGTTGATGTTTTTTTGCTATTTTTTTCCTTTTTTTAATAACCCCAGGGTGCAAAAATTGTAAACACAGTGTACCTTGTCGTATATTTGTGATAAGTGCATTTTGTATGTACGTGTGCTCCCCACTTTCAGCCCGTTTAATATAATTTACGAACATCCCCTTTTGGTTGGTTGTAAATCAAGTTCCAAGGAGTAAACTCTGTAAAAAGTATTGGAATAAAATTAAGAGGCTATTACCATGTTGACATATAAAAAAATCAACAACTTGAAAGTTATGTATGTATTGCCCAATTTCAAGTTTAATAGATAGTTTTTTCATCATTAAATAAAATCGAAATGTACACACTTCACGCATATTTTGTTTATCGAGCGCGAACCATGTTTTTATTTTGAATATTCAATTTCACGACTTGTTTTCTCGTGAAGGGTCCGGGGTTCACCATAATAATGGTATTGTATATTGTTCTCTCATCATACGAAACAAAATCATGGAACGAGGCTGTGAAACTTTATGTGAGACTTCAACCTACTTATGCATATTTTTTTTTTCCATTGAGCTATTTTAGTGTGGGCTTTGCCAGCTGTGTCAGCATATTTTGACAATGTCGGCGATAATCTGTATCCTGTCTGATCCTGCCTGTATGATGATATATTTTGTCAATGCTATCATTCCTTGCAACATGTCGTGGTGTTCACATGAATATTATCATAAACCAAATAAATAATTTGAATAATTTGTACAAAAATAAATACTCGTTTAAAAAAGAGTGAACAACTCAAATTAGTTGGTAAGTTTGAATAGTGCTACTTACTGCCTTCCAATATTACCAACTTATGCTCCTTATTGTGTATAATACAATTTATTCATTGATTGATTGATTGATTGATTGATTGCACAAATTGATACTGATAACCCATATTAGATAACGTGTGTCCACATTGCAGCTAGGATCTGGTATACATTCGTTAGTTTTACTGCAGGTTTACCAGTACACAACACAGGTAAGTCTTTTTCATGAGATGCACATTTTGCGGCAGTTCATCATGAAATACTTTCTAAGCACGGATATAAACGATGCTCAGATATTCCCTGTATTCGACATTGTTGTCTTAAAATGTGATTTGATAATACACATATTTTGTGATGTGTTTTTTTCGCTTTTTGCGAAATTAACTGCTGCTGTAAAGCACAAATATTATTCTTTTCTTTGCAGAGAACTAGAACAACTTGGTGTTTGAATACAAGTTGATTATTTCAAAATCAATACCATCATGCGAATCTTCGTATTGTTCGTTGTGGTTGCCGTGGCTAATGCTGCATATCTCGTTCCTCTTCTGAAGAATAGTGAGCCTATAAAAAACAGCTACATCTTGAAAGTCAAGGTAATATATACGGTTGACACAAATGGCCACCAAAATCTCGTCGAGAGCGAGAAATCCACGAGACTTGTTTTTGCTCTTGAAATTGTGTTCATTCTGTCCCGTCATCGTGACACTTCTTCTACGGTAATAAACAAATCTCGTGGTGCTCTAGGTATCAACAAGATCACATCGGTCATTTTTGCCTAGGATTCATTCTTCTTCTTTTACTCTAGACAATATTATCTCGCAGCGACTGATAAAATATGACAAAATGTATCCGTGATTCACACGTTTTCTGAAAGTTAGTCAGAGAATTCAATGCTACTTTAACATCATATACATCACATGTAAGCTATAATATAAGCGAATACGGTAGCGCATGCGCCCTACGAATCTAGGGGATTACCTGGAGGCCAATTTGCTATATTTTTTCACAATTCAAACAAAACTGTTGTCATTAATGTTGGAATAAAAAAATAACAGACGACAAAAAACTCGTAGAAAGCTTAACATAAGTTAATTTTGCCATTTCCCCGGTTTACTATCTCAGTAACGTACATTTCAGTAACGTAATTGTTTTTTTTACCACTTACTATGCCGTACTTATATGCCGAATAGCCAACAAAATGTTTGGCGATACTGTTTTGCAGATTTCTGAGCGTGCTTTTTTCTTTCTACACCCGGTACGCATTTGCTGTTATTCGTAAACATTATATTTGTACTGTAACGTACAATGATTTTTTTCAGAACAAAGTATTAACTTATTCTAGCGTTGGATAGTAACGTACATGCTATTTTTAGGGGTGAAAAACTTGTTTGTTGACAGGATTTTACGACATATCAAATACACATGTATATGTATAAGCCTCGACTGATATTATGTCACATACGACCCCCCGTGCAAGGGCAGTATCTTTTTTACATAATTTCCTGGTCGGAGAATCCAAATGATTACTTAATAAACTAACTTTAACAAGATCGTTCTTTAAATCAGAAGATAATTCTTTGTTCATTCTGATACTATAGTACATAGTGTGAAGCAAAATATAGAATAACCACACCTTTAATAATAATCAAGATAATGTTAATACATGTATTATTTTCCAGGACTCAGTGGACCTTGATGATGTCGCTCCCAAGCTAGCTAAACTTCGCATTGAAGTACAATGGAAATATGTTACATTGAAAGGTTTTGCTGTACGGGCTCAGGAAACGGATCTACATGCGGTATGTTTAATGCTAACATTGCCTGTTTTTCAAATATTCATTCAATCGCTATCGCAATAATCGCATTCTAAAATTGCATTCATGTTTTATCCCAGCTACGAACTATGAGTGAATTTGAATATATTGAGGAAGATGGAGTTGTAAGAGCAAATATTGAATGGGGATGTGATCGCATTGATCAGAGAGACCTTCCCCTCGATGACATCATGAATTTGTATCGTAAGTTAAATCATCATTGCGTGTATTCATTGAGTTGTTACACGTGATTCACTTCCCAGCATGGGTCTTAGTGGTTAATTATTTGAAACTGGAAGCCGCAGTAATTTGATTTTCTGCAAATGAGATGACAGTAGTTTTATTCAAATTTTCCCCATTCTTTAACAATATTATTCTCTTCATCCTCAACATTTTTGTTTTTCTAAAATCCTATAATTAGTTTTCTGTAGTATTTAGAGTATCTGACTCATGGTTGTAAAATTAAATGACATTAATATTCACTTCTCTTACATAGACGATGGCTCAGGAGCTCATGTGTACATAATCGATACAGGTCTACGTCACAGCCATGTTGAATTTGAGCCAAACCGTGCATCTTTCCACTTTGACTATGAAACCAGGGGTGACGTGGCAAGTGCTTTTAATTTTTTTTTAGTATAAGGCCAGACTTTTATTATCCCTTGTTTCGCGAACCCGCCGAATGAACAGGAGCCGAAAATGAAATAACAAATATTTTTTTTTATTTCAGTGTAATTTCTCGCGCTTGCCAACTTGTAAGCGCAAAAAAATGCTAAAAAAATATTATTTTTATATTTATTTTTGTACCACCCGCCGCATAACAAATCCAAGTTGCATTTTCGTGGGAGTATCATGATCAAAGTACCGAAGTCTCGCGCAGATGAGAAACAAGGTTATACATGGAATAAAATGTTATTTCATTTCTTCCCTTCGATCAATGATCTCACTTATAATTCTTTGAGAATCACACAAATCTAATGGGAAAAAAAGAATTAATTTTATTTTTTTTCGCCCTCCTCAAAAAAATTGCCTTATAAAAACTCGAGAAACAAGGTTCTTTAGGGGCCCCCGTTGTCATAATTTAGGTTTTTAGAGAAACAGGGTGAATATTATAGAGGATATTGGGACAATCATCACATACATTCTTCTACATAACTGAATATTTTTATAATTTTTTGCAATTTTCCATTTACTGTGAGATGTCACATAATGCGTGAAAGGGGCAGATAAAATGTCTGCCGCAAAAATCGAACGATTGGATTGTGAATTTGATTTTTTTATAGCTCAATATCAAAATGCAGATGTTTGTTATACTTATTTCATTAAATTAAAAATTGACCACCACCAAATTTATTATTAAGCAAGGCAATAACACCAAAATACATTCGGGTTTGTTTCACGCGATAGTTCAATCTCAATCATGACGTTATACAGTATATGTCTTTTATTTATCCTGTTTTTACATTCGATTTCTCGTATAACGCGCGATCTCGCAGTGAACGAGAATTGATTTTTTGGGATTACGTGTTGATACTGTTTTCACTTGGACAGAAATTATTTAACGTTAGCGAACAGAAACTTTTGGATAATTTGGATAAATAACAAAAACATCAAGCCCAAATAGAATAATAATTATGCGAACAGATTATTATGGCTTTTATTCTGTCCTGTAAATGCTAATTAGAATAATTATCTGTCGAGTGTCAGGGGGAAATTCTCGTCTGTCTCTATACACGTCTGCTTGAGGTACCGGACCGGGAAAGTCACTCAAGCTTTACAGTCAAATACACGCACACAACGAAATACGTTTCAATAGCTAGTCGAGAACGCCTCAAGGCAAACTGCCTCGTCGGAGACTCTGCCCAGGACTGTGTGATAGGTATTTTTGATGGTTAAAAACCTTTCACTTAGGTAACCGGGATTCGGTCGTTTCCACGCTAGGTTGACAAAAGACACACACAAGCTTCATTTATGTTCCAAACGATTCTCTGCCAAGTCCCTCGTTTTCACCCGAGACAGCATTAAATCACTCTTTATTTCTTGTCACTCCTTAACCAATTACAATCTGTATTAGAGACTCCAAGGCCTTGCCTTCAAACAAACAACCAATCACATGAAAGTTTT